AAGAAAACCAAATACTTCTTAAATCTATTCAAATTGTTGTCGTGCTCTTGAACTCATTTTGGTGTCACCAAAATATACGACGACCACAGATTTATGATCTACAGTTTGTTTGATGGTTGAATTACTTCTTAGCGAGGTATTTTTGTCTCAATGCCTGTTTGGTCTTATCTCCAAATTCTGAATCATCTCTCTATTGTTTCAAGTTACTTCTATCTAATCCACCTCTTAATAAAACCATTAATTGTTTCTTGAAAAAATTGGATAGATTAATTAGTTAAGAATATAGTGATATTTTCTACTATTTTTGCATTTTCTATTTTGGCATTGCTGTTGTTGATGTCTGCTCTTAGCTTTCTTCTTGGTATAGTTAGCTTCGTAAAATCTCTTGTATGAAGAGAGTAGGAGTCCAAGGTTAATACCTACTATTTCATACTCAATACAGTTTATATGCAACGTATGTGTACATCAACTAGTATAATTAAAGGGCTGTTTAATAACACCACTTAAGGCTTAAAATTGAATATTTTAACCACTTAATAAATTAAACTCGTTTTATAATCTAAAACTCATACTACTTAATATTTTAAGCACTTCTTAAAAATAAACTAAAATTTTAAGTAGCAAGCCACTTACTTATCACTTAATGCTGAAAATGTTAGTCAGTAAGGATTTTATCAATTTTTCATAACAAACAAATATACTCTCACCACCATTGTGTCATCGCCACCACCACTAACACTATCACCACCACCACCACTACCACCATTGTACCACCGCCACTATCATCACCACCGGCGCCGCCACTACTACCATCACCATTATTGTGTCATCGTCACTACCATCATCACCATCACTATGACCATCACTATGACCATCACTATCATCATCGTTGTCACCATCACTACCATTGTGCCACTGTCACCACCATCACCACTATTGTCGCCACCACCACCATTACCGCCACCACCACTGTCACCACCATTGTGTCGCCGTTGCCACTACCGTTACTATTACGTCATCGCTACCACCACCATTGTGCCACCGCCACCACTACCACCACCACCATTGTGCCATTACCACCACCACCACTATCGCCACCACCACCACCACCACCATTGTACCGCCATCACCACCACTTCCATTGTCATTGTCACCACCATTGTTACTATCGCCACTACTATTGTGTCACCGCCACCACCACCATAGTGTTGCCGCCGCCACCACCACCATCACCATCGTTGTCATCATCACTACCATTGTGCCATCACCACTACCGCCATCATCATTGGCGTCACCACCACCATTTTGTCACCATCACCACTACCACTATTATGTTGCTGTCGTCGCCACCACTACCACCACCATTTTGTCACCATCACCACTACCACTATTATGTTGCTGCCGTCGCCACCACTACCACCACCATTTTGATGGTGGTGATAGGAATAAAGCAATTGTGGAGAGATGATTAAAGAGAAGTGCAAAATTAAAATAATAATAATTTTTAGACTTTAGCTCCTTATATTTGTCAAATAGTTTGATTAAATTCAATATTTAAATTTCAATTAATACCAAACAGTCTACGAATTAAAAAATTCAGCACTCAGCAGTTAAAATTCAGTATTCAATTTTCAATGTTCTGCTTTCAATTTTATCAAACACTACCTAACTGATACATATATCACCTATTAATTGAATATTCAATGTCTGAATTTGTAAGGTCTAAAAAAATCAGATAAAATGGAAGTCATCTAAGAGTAGCTCTTGGATGATGTAAATGTTTAAAACTAAAATGGGAAGCTAAAAAGTTTAAGGGTAGATAATATGTCTTTAAGCATTTGTTTAAAAACAAATTAGGTAGTTAAAAGTTTTTTTATAATGTTGACAAGATTGGATAATTAAATGCATAAGGATGTACGTGTCGTTACTCTTTTTTATAGGGACATAGTAGTTAATCAAAATTTTCATTTTTATTGACATTTTATAAATAGACAAGGTGAAAGAGGAAAAAATAAATTAACAAAATAATATAATATATATCTCGTGCATTGCACGGGGCTATGAAGTTATATTATCTATTATACTTGGATCAAATTAGTCGTAGTTGTTAATCCAAATGCATCTCTCACATTGTCCAAAAGGTCGCAACTCAGGATAGTCGGTGTCTTGGCCGGGCTGGGCCACTATTTGAACTGTTTTTAGGGTTTTTTGTAGACTGATACCCTATATAAGACTTGTTTGTATAAAAGTTCTTCGAATAAATTGTTTTGTAGATAAGTTATCTTTTTTTTTTTGTTCCCAAAACACACAAAGGTAACTGAATAGACGCATTGTCTTTCTTTGAAAACCGCCAGATTCTATTCACCATCTCCACAAAATCCGGCCATTATTGACAATATTATACTCATAACATTATGTCAGGACATATCAATAACACAAAACAAATTGTAACTGTGTGACATGCAATCTAACATGACATTGTCACACTCTAAATAACAAATTAATTAGTGGATAAAGTGAAAAATTGTATTCACTATCGCATTAACAAAATGAATTTTTATGTATCAAAAAATATTACAATATGACATTCCAATGCAACATTACTCGTGATTAATAACATTTTAATGTGACATTCCAGAGTTTCAAACGGATTAAAAACATTACCCATAATTAATAACAACAGCCGTTGACAAAGATCAAAACATTATTCAACTGTTGGTGAAGAAACCGCAAGCGTCAAAGTATAACACAAATAGCCAAACGAAGACCGCAAATGAAGACCTAGATGGTGACCGCAATCAAAACACTGTGCAACTGTTGGTGAAGAAACCGCATGCATCAAAGTATAACACGAATAACCAAACGATGACCTAGATGATGACCGCAGTCGTGAACGATCGGTAAAACAACAAATGATGACCCCAACTTCAAAAAAGACATTGATTTTGTTAAGATCTTGCGTCGGTTATGGATTATTTAGATATTCAAAATTTTAAAAAAAAAATATTGCAAACTAGGAAGTTGTCTATCAATAAAACCAAATCCCATATAAAAGGTAACTGCCAAAATACAAAGATCATAAAAATGAGGAAAGTGAATTATAGTAAAGAGAAGAATAAAAAATTTGTCATTGTGTATCTCTATATAATACATTTCAACCTAGCGGTACTTATTTACAACACATTTTTTTCAAGGTCTTTTCTCACAAAAACGTCCTCCACAAGGTACCTACTCATAATTTTTCATTGTTTTTATATATAATAGAAGTGGCAAATGACACAATACGAAAACACAACTCTAAATCGATACGAAATTAATAGGTTAGGGTTGACAATTTCTCGACACGAACTCGTACATGACACGACTGTTTAACATAAATAATAAATAGGTTGAGTTAGTGTCAAACACAAATAACTCGAAACATGTTTAAGTAGTTTTATAATAATAAAATGACAAATTTTTATTTTATTTTATCAAGTATTGACCTATTATTATATTTTATTAAGTTAGTTTTTTGTTTGTAGAAAAAATATGAACATACATTCAATTAAATAATAATAAATTTTTAGACATCAAACTAAGCGTTAAATTTTTTATTTATGGGTTATATGGGTCAACATAAGCATGATACAAACATAAATAAACACAATATAATTAATTAAACGAGCTGAGTTATGGTTAATTACTCAATATGAATCCGAAATAATAAGACACAACACGAGTCCACACGATAAGATTTTATACCTACTATATAAATTCCAATCCGTATGTCCGGCGGTTTTTAATTAACCCGTGTGAAACATGACGGGTTTAGTAAAAATCGGTCGGATCTTTTGTTAGGGAAAATTAGGAGGTATACCCAATTAGACTTAATTGTAAAAAAGTACATAGAAAAAAATGTTGGGTAATTAAGTCCTTAATTTTGATACTTATTTGTATCTAAGTACATTATTTGAATTTTACTAATTTTTTTGTGATATTTTTGCCCTCCATTAATCCACGTGTATTTAATGCACCACTTTTCTTTGGAAAGTGGTGCATTAAACATTTCTTAGTTTTATGGGAGAACTTTAATACATATATATATATACACGTTTTTATATTTACATAAATACATATTTTATATATATATATATATATATATATATATACTTATGTATGTATATACTTGTTAAATCTCTTATCTAAATTTTGAATTATTTTTTAATGCACCTTGATTTATGCATCTTTTTTTAGAAAGTGGTTTTATTTTTAAATTAATTTAATATCCAAATAGTGTAATAGTATAACAATAACAGTGTAACAATAATAATGTATTAATAAAAGTGTAACAGTGTAACACTAACAGTGTAACAAGCTATTTACACAAAATATTGTACTATTAAATTTTGTCAAACATATAGTTTCATATAATTTCATTCAAAATAGTCCATCTCTATTTTGAATTTGTTACTATATACACAAAACTACTAAACACTGTATTTGTTACACTATTATTGTTATATTATTACATTATTCGGATATTAAATTAATTTAAAAATAAAACTATTTTCCAAAAAAAAGAAAAACACTTGAATTAATGTGCATTAAATATAATTTGAAAACAAAATCACTTTTCAAAAAAAAAAAAATACACATGAATCAAAGTGGATTAAAAATAATTCAAAATTTAAATAAAAGATTTAATAACAAATATATATATATATATATAGATAGATATATATACGAATATATATATATACATATATAAACATATGTATATATATATATACATATTTATACGTATTAACAAATATACATGAATTAAGTTACATTAAATACGTATTTATATGTATTAGCAAACACACATGAATCAAAGTGCATTAAAGATAAGATACTTTGAATTAAATAACCTTAAAATGAGCATTTATATCTTTGTAACTCAACTGTAAATTTTTTTCTAAAATATTTTTTTCTATATATTTTTTACCAAATAAATCTAATTATGTATACCTGCTTACAAATAAACCCCTCCATAAAGGCACCAATTTTTGGCCCAAACAGCCAGAATTTCCTTACGCTCTCTTCTCTCTCTCTGAGGCCACTCATCTCTTTCACTTGCCGTAGCACGCTGTCCATCGTCCACTAGCCACCAGGTAAGTTCTCTCATCTTTCGCGTCACGATCTTCTGGATATTTCATAGCAGCATGAGGAAATGAAATAATTGATTTGATCTGGAGTACTTAACTGTGTATGTGTAACTGTTACTGGTACTTCTTCCCCTTGCTATGAATATATGATTTGACATTCATACATTCTCTCTGCTTCATCATCACAATCCATGGATTTCGGTATTGAAATTTGAAATTCCATTCAGAGAAATATGACAAAATTAGCCATCCGGGTCTCAGTGGAGCTGTACCCATTATGGAGAGATTTAAATTTCATCATTTCATCGTAGTTTTTGAACTTCAACCATCAAATTCCCTGACAAGCAAACCACAGAACAAAAAAACATGACATTAATTTGAAGGTGGAACCCCATTTTTGTGGTCAATCAGTGTCTTGTAGCTTTATACTTTCTGTATTTCTGTATTTGGTTGCTTGATCTTGGTGTTGGAATTCTAGTATGTACTGGTAATGAAACATAGCGTGGTTATAGTTTTTGAACTGGTAGAATTCACATCGTTTGGATTTATTTTGAGTTGGTATGGTATGATTTGATTAAATATTCAATTTTGTTGCCCTGATTGTATAAAAACCAAAATCCAATGCATTCGCCAAGTTCTTTAGTAGTGGGTTTTTTATGCTTATATTTTCCATTCAGTCAAAATGTCTTCCTCTGAATGAATTGTGTATAGGTTTGGCATTTTCTGTTTTTTATTTGATGTTCTATTCATAAAGCATGTTATTTATATAAGTAATTCAATTTTTTCTGTTTAATTATTATTCTCAATAATTCTTTAGTATTTTTAATTGTATGACCAAACCGGTCGGTTGGCCCAATGGTTGAATCAATGATCCGATACTTTACCCTGTCATTCAAAAATAACCACACAATCCTATATGATTTTAGACCAATCTACACTGTTAACACCGTTAATAATAATAATGATAAAATGACTTTTATACCGCTATACATAACCCTATGAAAATCCCCTCTTCCACCAGGCCACGATCTCTGTCATCACCCACCACATGTAAAACCCCATAGCAGCCACAACTCCAAAGCTTCCCATCAACATTAGAAAATATTCCAAATCTAGTCATGGCAATCTAAAAAAGCCATTAGTTCATCACAAATCTTTGGAAAATCTGGTCATTGCACAGTTCTTCGTATTAAAAATTTAGCATTCAGTTTTTGGGGCTCATTTTTAGTTTTATCTAGTTTTGAAAACACAAGGTGGGGGCAAAGTTTATGTTAACTTAGATGGGTGTTTGTGTGATTTTTACATGAATAATATAAAATGAAAAAAAAATAATTTCAAGAATTTTGCTCAAGGTTAATTGTGATTGCTGGGCTTTAAGTTTAGTCGGTTTAAAACCGGTTTTGTTCATTGCAACTCTCTGGCCTTCTTTGCTGCCACATTGGGGTAAAAGCTCAGGGTTTCTAATTGACTAATTGTTGCAGATTCAGTACTAAATCAATCCGGCCTACTTGATCATTATGTATGAATTTGGCCGAACACTGTTCCAATTCCAATTCCATAGAAAGCTGCATGTATTATCCCGTGATGGTCCTAGCCAAACCCTAAAGATGAAAATTGCTGAATTAGAGAAGATCAGGAAGAAGAAGAACACCAAGAAAAATCAGTTATTTGTGGAGACTCCCGAATCGAAATCATACTTGGATACAGCCACTATGCCGATGATTCTCACTGCAGTTGGAGTTGCAGTATTTGCAAAGCTCCTGATGATGGTATATTCAATCTGTTTCCAGATATGCATTTCACCCTAAGTGTTATTATCTTTTTCAAAAATTTTGCACATTTTCTTGTGTTTAGGAATTAGTGTTTAGCTTCTTTTGGCAGCATGGAAATGAGGGAAGATTGGATTGGCGTTTGTTCTAATTTTGCCCACTTCTAATTCTTTGGCCCCAATTTTATTCTGCCAAAAATTAGCTTATTTGCCAATGTGAACAATTGTTCATTGAAGCTTAAAAAAAAAAAGAAGAAATAAAAAGCTATTGATGTCTTCTTATTAGTGTGTTTCAATGGCTATTATTGAGCTTAGATTTGGGGAATTTTCACAACTTGGCGTTATTGCAGATGCATGGTTTTGGTTTATCATGTAGCCTGAGTCTGGTTTAACATAGGCAGGTAATCAAATTAACTGAGGCTTCATTTGGCAGCTCAAATTGTGAATGATTAACTCATAATTTAAGCTAAGTTTCTGCCTTCCTTTTTGAGGGCTGGAATTTGATGCTGCACATCGTATGTATCTGTAGTCCTAGAAAATAACATGATTGATCTGCTGTGCTGGCAGTATGATGAGTCAAAATCCCAAGAGATGATTGAGCGCAAAATAAAGAATGCTCCTGCTGGTCAAGGCACTGTTAGAATGCTCACTCGAGAGGAGTGGGAAGAAATCCAAGAATTGCGGCCAAGGACTCCGTTTGAATCTAAGCTTGCTCGGCCAAATGCCCGGATAAGAACTGGCGAACCTTTGCACGTGGTAAAGCTCAATATTTTATCCCTGCCTTCTTTATCCATCTGTTGTTTGATGGTAAAGTGTAGGATGCCAAATGCAGGCTTGACACTATTCTAGAAATTGATGGGTCTGTGTCTTTATGGAAGCCTTTGACAAAGGGGGGAAAACTGATAATGACGGGCCAATGCTTTCTTAAATTAATACTGTACCCCCCCCCCCCCCCCCCCCCCCTTTTTCTCTTTTTTTTTTTTTTTTTTTTTTTTTTTTTTTTTTTTTTTTTTCCTCCTACCAAACCAAACGTACATTACAGAGAGTTGTCCAAAGTCTAGACCACTACTATCGGTGGTTTTGGGGTAAGGGGGTTCAGTGTAGCTTGGTGTGGCTTGGGTTGTTTTCAGTATGCTGTAAACTTTGTTCTTCACCAACATAAATTTAGACTTTTCAAAGCTTACTCGAGACAATTGATCTTGCAAGTCATTAATATAATAATAAATCGACACTCTTGCTAAACCTTTGCACCGTAAAGCAGGCTTGACAATCTAATAAAAAAAAAAATCAACTGAAACACGAGCGTCACGACTCAAACCCAGTCAACATGCCTTGATAATTCATAAAAATCAATCAACTAAAAATGGGTATGACGACTCAAGTCAAATCCTATCATCAACACTAGTTAAACCAAAATTTGATTATCGTGAATAAGCGACTTATCAATCACTTGATTAGGCAATAATCAGTTTTGTGAGTAGAAAAGAAGCTGAAAATATGATAGATGTTAAATGTGCGTAGAAGTCAGGTTTTATCAGACTGCAGACTGCTGAAAAAAATGAAAAAATATATTCAATCTCACTTTAACTTTGTAAATTGGGTATGAATAATTTAATGGAACAATAAAGTCAAATGTCATGAGTTTCTAATTCAGATGTAACCCAGACAAACAAGTCCCAATCATCCTCCTCACTTTAAGACACTAGTCATCGATCTCATTCCTCTTCAGTATAGACAAACTTTTGATAAATTGATATGGAAAATAAAGAAACATTCTTATCCAGAGTTCAGAAGAACAAACAGAAAACCACAACTAGCTAGCTAGGTCAAAGTTAACTTCCTACATTAGGATCTGATTTCATTATCAAGGTAAGCCTCAATAGGGTTTGTGTTGGGTACGTGTGTGTGCCTTTGAGTGCGCATGTGTTGGCGTGTGGGTATGTATGTGTTTAAGAGTGTGAAAGACAGATCTAACTTTTGACAAAAATTTTAAAGTATCAGGTATATTAACAAAAATTTTCAACCCTGAGCTAACTTTTGACAGTTCCTCCTTATTTTTCAAGCCTCACAGTTGCTCCAGTGAAATTTTTAAAAAATTTCAGACCTAAGTGTAATTTTAAAATTTTCAAAATTTTTTTAAACTTACCCAGTGAAATTTTCTTAAAGTATAAGGTATATTAATTTAACTTTAAATTCTTAAAAACTAACTTTTGGCAGTTTCTTTTCACGCCTACTTTTTTTTTTCCATAAGCCTTCGTCTAGATTTTCAGTCCAATCCAGGCGTCCAGCCGACAACCCCTCTTCTTTCTTTTATTTAGTTTCTTTGTTAGTTTCTTCTGTGTATTCATCAATAAATCAGTCTATTAGATTCAATCATTGTGCAAATCAAACTTTAAGAAACCCTAAAAGATTATATTGAAGCTAAGAAAAGGTGATCCATTAACTATATTTTTTATCGATGAAGGAAGTTTATATTTCATCTCCTTTCATTATCTCTTTCTCTCTCTTTCCCTCTCCCACCAATTCACCATTTAACTAGTTAGGAAGGTATGTAGACAAAGAATTATAGAAGTTTAGAGGTGATAGAAAGTATTTTTTCAAAAAAAATTAANCTATAAACACCCCCCCCCCCCCTCCCGTCTCCCCCAAAACAAAAAACAAAACCCAAATCCTCCTCCTTTCTTTATTTTCTCCATTTTTAGTTTATTAGGGGCCATTACAAACCTTGGAAGTTTCGTTGAGTGAGTCTTGCCGCAGAATTAAGGTTGTTTTATTGGACCCACTTGGAGTTCAAGTCGCGCTAACAACTTCTTCTTTTGTCGGGATAAGACTACGTAATTGTAACATTTCTCAGATCCTGCAGTGCGCAATGGCTTGTGCACTGTGTGTGTGTTTTTTTTTTTACACAAATCTTGAAAGTTTTGCTGCCTGATGTAATATCCTACAAAATGTCTGCCAATGGGTAAACCATAGGAAGAAATTTGTTGCAGTCTTGGAGCTGATGCCAAGTTCAATCCGAAGAGTTGATGCTATTTGGGAATCCATGTATAAATAAGATTTGTATTATCCACTTCTTTAGGACTAAACAAAAACATTCCTTTCACTCATCCCAACTGTAATACTATATATTGTCCCTCTATAGGGAAAAGGTGATTATACTTAATTGGTTCTCTTTTTTAATTTGAGAGAATCTGAGGAAAAGAATTTTGTGTTCTCTGAGCTAAAAAATCATTTCAGTAGGAAACTTGGTTACTTTTAATTAGAGTTGATAGTTGAACGAGTTTGAGTTGAACCTAAAAAGTTTGTTGTCTTAATCGAGTCTAAAAAATTATTTAAGTTTGACTCGTTTAGAGAATAAGTCAAGCCTGAACGAGTCGAGTCTGTCGGACTCGTTTTTAAAATGAGCTTAAAAAATTATTCGAGTTTGGTTGATTTTTTAAACGAGATGAGCTTGAATAATTCAAAAACAAACTAAACCCGAGTCGAACTCGAGTAGCTCGATTTGATTATCAATCTAATTTTTAATACACTCCTCTTTAACCTTTTTAGTTGTAGATCACATACTTAAGATTTAAGAAAGAACTTACTCTCTATATGAGTCTAGTTGAGCACCAATTTTTTTTTTTTTTGGGTTTGACTCGTTTGTTCGTGATGAGTGGTCAGATTTGTTTGTGTTTGGAATAGGGGTGTAACTTTAGCGGGATAACGTGAATTCAATTCGAGTCTAATCCGAAAAAAAATATTTGGGTTAGAATTTTTAATACTTAAGTTAGGTTTGGGCAAAACAATATCAACCTGAATTGAATTTGGGCAAGCTTTGGGTTGAGGCCTCTGGTTGTTGGGTTTAACATGAATATTAAAATTGGGTTGAATTCAATTATTAAATCGGGTTACTTGAATATACATAAATATATTTAATTAGAGTTAGTGTTTATCTTCACTCTTTAGAATCCAGACTTTTACTGCACTTTAAGTTTTCACTCCTGTGCCTTCATCACTCTCAAATCCCTGTCTCACTCATCACTTTCCTCTCTCTCAGCCTTCCTCTCTCAATCATTACTCGTCTAAGTCGTCTCAGACTTTCAGCCTCCACCTCTCACTCGTCATTCATATGAGTTGTCTCAGACTTTCAACCTCCCTCTCTCACTCGTCACTCCTCTCTCTCTTTCTGGTTCTTTCTTCATCTGCGTCTTGCCGTTCATCTTTAATCACTTGAAAAAATTAAATCTACACTTCAAAAAATCAACCCGAATTAAGTAACTTAAGTCCAACCCGATTTTTAATTCGAAATCAGCCCGAATTCAACTCAAGTCCGCCCAAATTAAACTCAGTCAGTGTTCGAATTGAAGATTATATACTTAAGGTTAGGCTATGGTTGACCTCTCAACCCGTCTGAGTTGCACCCCTAGTTTGGAATAAGTTTCAAACGTCTTGTTTAAGCTTAGTTATGTTCCAAGACTAGTTTGACTTGCTTTTGTTTGTCTAATTAAAATAATCAAGTTTGAGCTTAAATTTAAGTTCCTACCTGATGGTGTAAATTAATGTGGATGAGCAAAAGGTGCAGGTGATGTGTGATAAGCGTGGATCAGAGCTACAAGGTTTGTGTGTGATGCTGCAGTGAAATACTGAGGGGATTAAAAGNTTTACCCTGTCATTCAAAAATAACCACACAATCCTATATGATTTTAGACCAATCTACACTGTTAACACCGTTAATAATAATAATGATAAAATGACTTTTATACCGCTATACATAACCCTATGAAAATCCCCTCTTCCACCAGGCCACGATCTCTGTCATCACCCACCACATGTAAAACCCCATAGCAGCCACAACTCCAAAGCTTCCCATCAACATTAGAAAATATTCCAAATCTAGTCATGGCAATCTAAAAAAGCCATTAGTTCATCACAAATCTTTGGAAAATCTGGTCATTGCACAGTTCTTCGTATTAAAAATTTAGCATTCAGTTTTTGGGGCTCATTTTTAGTTTTATCTAGTTTTGAAAACACAAGGTGGGGGCAAAGTTTATGTTAACTTAGATGGGTGTTTGTGTGATTTTTACATGAATAATATAAAATGAAAAAAAAATAATTTCAAGAATTTTGCTCAAGGTTAATTGTGATTGCTGGGCTTTAAGTTTAGTCGGTTTAAAACCGGTTTTGTTCATTGCAACTCTCTGGCCTTCTTTGCTGCCACATTGGGGTAAAAGCTCAGGGTTTCTAATTGACTAATTGTTGCAGATTCAGTACTAAATCAATCCGGCCTACTTGATCATTATGTATGAATTTGGCCGAACACTGTTCCAATTCCAATTCCATAGAAAGCTGCATGTATTATCCCGTGATGGTCCTAGCCAAACCCTAAAGATGAAAATTGCTGAATTAGAGAAGATCAGGAAGAAGAAGAACACCAAGAAAAATCAGTTATTTGTGGAGACTCCCGAATCGAAATCATACTTGGATACAGCCACTATGCCGATGATTCTCACTGCAGTTGGAGTTGCAGTATTTGCAAAGCTCCTGATGATGGTATATTCAATCTGTTTCCAGATATGCATTTCACCCTAAGTGTTATTATCTTTTTCAAAAATTTTGCACATTTTCTTGTGTTTAGGAATTAGTGTTTAGCTTCTTTTGGCAGCATGGAAATGAGGGAAGATTGGATTGGCGTTTGTTCTAATTTTGCCCACTTCTAATTCTTTGGCCCCAATTTTATTCTGCCAAAAATTAGCTTATTTGCCAATGTGAACAATTGTTCATTGAAGCTTAAAAAAAAAAAGAAGAAATAAAAAGCTATTGATGTCTTCTTATTAGTGTGTTTCAATGGCTATTATTGAGCTTAGATT